TAATCATTACAACAGCTCTGTTTTAATACATTTACTATAACATTCACACATAGTGTTCAAATTAGGATCTGTAATATTTTAAATGTTAAATGTTTTAAAAGAAGTCTCTTCTCAGCAAGGCTGCTTTTAATTGTACAGTTAAAAAAATAATAATAACAAATAAAAATACATGCCTGATTCAAGAAGGGGGCCTGATGGCCAAAAAATATTTTTTTACTAACTTATTAATTTTAAGTTAAATTGTGCTTTGTTGGTATAGTGTCTGCTAGAATGTTTAAAATGTTCAGTGTTAAATATTTTTAAATTGTTGTTTTGTAATTGATTTTTTTTCTTTGAAAAGCAAGACAAAACAGTAAAAAGCACATTTTGGCTTTTTAATTTATGCAATGGTGAAAATTTTTTTGGCCAAAATACATGGGGGAAAAAACTTCGGCCCAGTGTTTCATTTTGTTCGGTTTTGGCTTCGGCCAAGAATTTTCATTTCGGTGCATCCCTACTTTTTTTTTTTTTTCAAAATAAAATTGGGGGAGTCAATAAATACACTATAGCCAGGTCATGTGACAATGATGTTACATTCTACTGTTTGACTGTTTAATGCATACCATTTAGCACATTAAAAAAAACAGCAAACGGCACTTTAAAAGTCATGTTTTAAAAATGTTTAACAATTTTAACAATTTAAAAGAACAGTTTGAAATATAAACAGTGTATTTGTCAAACTGAAAAGTGATTTACATTTCAATTTTGAATGAACTGCTAATTGATTCATATTATTTTTAAGTTGCAATCCAAGCCCTCTATAATAGTTTACATCTTAATATTAAGCTGCAATAAAAGAAAGTATTTTAACTAAAAAAAATAAAATAAAAAAAAAGACACTTTACCACATAACGGTGCCTGCTTTGGTGACTAATGCTGTAATTGTAAGCTAGTAAATAATGAAGTGTGCAGTGTAATCAGGATACCACAGGTTATAAACATTGCAGGGCTGGTTACTGTTTATGAACAAGATTATGGATACACTTACAGCATTTTGTTGTGCAAAACTAAGGCAAGATCTGAGATCTGTGTGCGTTTCCCACATTACTGGCTGTCAATTTTCAATACGGCCAAAGGCTAAACCCAAGACTTAATACCAAATCACCCACTGAATTCTGCCTATTGTTTCGGCAGATTACAGCGTGCGTCATTGTCAAGGATTGTGCGTTTTTCCAATGTGCAGCGACCGGCTAGACACGCACTCACCAATAAACACTAACACAAACATATGCAATTAACTCATATGAGGTGCGTCAGGACATTTAGATCAGACTGGTATTTTAATATGGGTCACGACCACACAGTATAATTCGACAGGAATGTCCAGGTCTCAAAAACAACACTGTTCAGGACCCAATCCTTTGAAACACTGCATAAATTGTTCTAAGCATATTCATAAAGGCATAATGGTTAAAAACTACACATCAATGAGACAAAGTAGGAAGTACTAAATTGCACGACCGTGTTCTCTGTTCCTGTTTTTAGTCTATTTATGTGTTTTCATAATCCACTTCATGGCTAGGCTAAATCAGCTTACGGGTGTTTTTAAACACGGTTTCTGAACATTTCGTCTCTCGGGTGCTACTCAAAGTTATTATGGAAGCTCCATAAGGCCACATACAAGCGCTACGGTGAGAAATCAGGGTGCCAGAGAAGCTGACAGCACAGGACACTGGTAATTGCTGACTGAGGAAGATCTACTTCAGCTTTCAAAATCAGAAACGGCTCATGCGTCACCGACTGAGTGTGTGCGGTAGTGCTTGTGCTCAAGTATGACATGGAGCCAAAAAGGCAACATCCACAGACTTCCTCTATGTGGAGCAAAAAAAAAACAGAAGAATGGAATGAAGACACAGGGTGAGAAAGAAAAAGACACAACAACTCAATGAGAAATCAATGAGTGCCTAAGTAACGATCTGGACTGGTGCAAGTACAAGGCCAGTAATAGAGAACAAGCTATTAATAAATAAATGATTGGTTAGAGGTCGCCATTAAACTATAAATGGCTCATAATATACTGCCTGTCAATGTCAGATAACTGTGGAACAGACTGCTGTTCCTGTATGCAAACACACATATATTAAGGCCTACTCTTGGTTGTATGCTACATCTTTCAATCATGCAATTCACAGAATACAGAATAATCTCATTTGCAAATACATAAATATACATGAACCTTCTTCCTTTCCTGACAGTCTAAACGCCATAATTTATCTCCTCATTACAAATGCAAATCAACACACATCAAGTTGAAACATCATTCTTATCAAACAGGTATCCCTAAAAATGAAGCTGCAGGAAACAGAAAAACTATGTAAATGATGACACTGGAAAACTGATGGGCAAACACATAATGTTTCTTTAATCTTTCTAATGATTAAAGGGTTAGTTCACCCAAAAATGAAAATTAGGCTGTGTTTTACTCACCCCAGAGCCATCCTAGGTGTACAAAAACGCTTCGATTCACTACAGGAGGCCTTTGTTCACCCCCCGGAGCCGTGTGAGACGGGGTTTTTAATGGATGGGCGCTTTTTATTTAACTTCTTTTGGACTGATGCATGCAAAACGCTGAGTGGCATTAAACAGCTTGAAAGATCAAAGACTATTTTTAATCTAACTCCGACTGGATTTGTCTGAAAGAAGAAAGTCATATACACCTAGGATGGCTCTGGGGTGAGTAAAACACAGCCTAATTTTCATTTTTGGGTGAACTAACCCTTTAACATTCCTTGGCACCCTGATTAAAAAAAGACTTTAAAAGATGTCATATTTTAAATAGTGAATTTAAACCAGAGTAAATACATCACTGAATTGTGCCAGAAGATCTGTTTGGTTAACTGATTAAAAATAATTTGTTAGCGCAGCAATAGTCTATGTGTAACTACTGATAAAACACTAAAAATATGCAAACATTGCCTTTACAGCCATGTAGCAAACCGGTGACAAATAACCTCTTAATTCCATGTGAAATAAAAATAATATTGCAAAAGTGTCTGCATGTTTCCTCTGAAATACTAGGAATCTGAATGTAGTGAAGTAAACAGGATATGTAGTCGAGGATCCATTTAGCCTGACAATAAAAGGAGGGGGCGAGAAAATGGCACTTGTCAGAACTACTCTGATAAGTGAAAATAGGAAAGACTGTGTTTAGGAAAGACTATAAAAGGCCAAATGCTTGACATTAATTTCATAATTAATGACATTAACATGACATTAATGTGCATAATTGTACCGTTCTTGATTATAATTTGTATTATTACTCAGTTTCAGGCCTGGTGTTTTCTTACTGTCCTCAAATGTACTGACACTAAGTGAAGGTCTTTTTAAATCTGACTGCTGAGTCTGAAAGTCTGAGACTCTGAATAATTAGTAACACTACTGGAGTACTACTGTACTGTTTACTGCACAGCATACACCGAAAACTGGACACTGCTTACTATCGTTCAAAAGTTTGAGGTCAGTAAGATTTTTGTTTTATTCAGCAAGGATGCATTAAATTGATCAAAAGTGACAGTAAAGACATCTATAACATTACAAATAAATGCTGTCCTTCTGAACTTTTATTTAAAGAATTCAGAAAAAAAAAAATCTACAAAAATATTAAGCAGCACAACCGTTTTCAACATTGAAAATAATAAGAAATGTTTCTTGAGCACAAAATATTATTAGCATATTATGGAATAAAATCGCTGTCAAAAATAATCGTACGTAATTCAAAGCATTTGTGTGTCATTTTAATTTACTCATGCGTAATTTAAAAGTATTGTATGTAATTCTGTTTTTTGTCAGAGTTGGATTCCAAAATCTACGGCCACGACAGTTTACAGATACGAGATTTTGTGTGTTTGTTAGAGTACAACTCCAAAATGTACGACTATGACAGTTTACAGACACAACGCTTGTTTTCACAACAGCTCTGTTACACGCACGGTCGTGGCCGTAGATTTTGGAATCCAACTCTGACAAAAAACAGAATTACATACAATACTTTTAAATTACGCACGAGTAAATTAAAATGACACACAAATGCTTTGAATTACGTACGATTATTTTTGACAGCAATTTTATTCCATACATATTAGAATGATTTCCGAAGAATCTTATAGCACTGAAGACTGGACTAATGACTGCTGAAAATTCAGCTTCACCATCACAAGAATGAATTGCATTTTAAAATATATTATAATAGAAAACAGTTTTTTTTAAATTGTAATAATATTTCACAAGATTATTGTTTTTATTTTTAATCAAATAAATGTAGCCTTGGTAAGCATAAGAGACTTCATTCAAAAACAGAAGAAAATATGTGAAATTGTATGCATTATGTACCCACTCACACTACAAAAACAAGTATGCTTATTCTACATTGTTGTTGTCGTGCCATCACCTCACTATTTCATGTTTAATTCAGGGGAGTCCAGTTACTAACTTGAATTAAAATGCAAAAAGTGATACTGAATGAAACCCATGAGCGATATTATATTTTATTCATCACACTTCAGCAGTTGACCAACTCTAATCTTTTGAGATGCCACAGTCCATCAAACGTGAAACGGATGGTGTAACTTTGGCAGTAGAAATAAAGAAGCTCAGGAATTGATTGAAAATGAGTGAGTGGGAAAATCATAGTGGTGCATAAAAAAAATTAAACTGAAAAATGGATTGTTTTCTTGTGCTGTCTGCTTCACTCATAGCACGTGCCTATATCGTGCTCTATATCGAACATTTTTTCTATCAATATCGAAGAAGGTGTACCATCGATAAATATCGATACCGTTTTATCGCCCAGGCCTACGTTAAAGATAAGTTTAATATCTGCGAGGGCAAAAATTAGCTTGCCACACCTGCCAAGAGCAGGTTAATATATGTAGAAATATATCCAGCCATGCACACACACACACACACACACACACACACACACATAAAAAGAGATTATCGATATTGGAGCTCCCTTAAACAGAGTGCCTCACTCCTGGTGAGAGTATGGGGGAAGCTAACATGTCAGCTAATAAAAGCGCTCTATTCTGTTCCTACATCACTTTGAGGAAGAAGGGTTGCTGCACTTTAGCAGAATCATCACATATATCCTCATCCTGGTTTCCTCTCTTTCTAGCCCGAGGAAACCCAACCCTCTTCCATGCTAACTCTATAGGTACAATCATCATAAACAGTTTAATTAGTCAGGAAATGAGAGAATAATAAACCCACATTTCAAATTCAATCATATTACATGTAGTCACATTTTAATAAATACGCAAAAAGCAAGTAAATAAGAAAATAAATAAAGGAATTGGGATAACGTTTTTCAATAAAAAGAAAAAAGTGGAATAATTTGAGGTCAAACTTTTTAAACCTTTTCTACAATAGCTTTAATAAAAAATAAATAATAAATAAGACTTCAAACATACACAGTTGGGGACTTTTACGTTTAAATGAAGGAACAATAGGCGGAGCGTGTGTTAGCCTTCCCCTGGCCATAGGGACTTGGGGCAAAAATGCCACTAAATTGGACAAAAATGCCTCTGCACAAACAAATGAAATCTATTACGTCTGTTGCTAACAAAGTGAAAATTAATAGACCGTGCCGATTGTGGCATTAAATTAAGATCTGCTCATGTTGCACCGTATTTCATTGTAGGCGTTTTTAAAGTGTTGCGCATTTTAACCAATCACACACAATTCTGTTGAGCTTAGGAATGCAATGGCCAATCAGAGGCGTTTAGATGAGTAATCGATTAAACTCATCAGTTTTGAGTGCGTGCGCGTACAATGCAAGTAAGAGATTCATTTCACAGTGTATACAGCTTCAGTGATTA